AAGCCTGCAGAGCTCCAGATAAATAATCGTTTATCTTTCTTAAGGTAAGCACTGGGTTTAGAAATGTTTGTATCATCCTCTGTCATTTTAAAAATGCTAACATAATAACCTTAAGAAAGATTCTTAACCACCCCTGCCCCCTTAACCTCAAAAGTATTCCCAGTATCTTTGTTACTACCCCAAGGTCATTATTAGCTCATCTCTGGGTCAGAATCTGAGATGAGTTGCTGTTAACATTTTGTATTCCTTAAACAATCTACTGAAGAGATTTTTTTTTTTTCCTCCAAAAGCTGATTGGCTTAAAAGTCATCTCCTATCCTTTTAATCACAATCAAGTGAGTGGATTGATCAGGGCTTCTGAGATCTTGCAATCTTGTTTTTCTAAGATAATTCATTCTCTAGAATCTTGATTCTTAACTAAAGAGTGACCAGTATTTTATGAACATTACTATTTTTTTTTCTCCAGTACTTTTCCTTGTCTGAAAACTTCTAACTCAACAATTTATTGGCAATATATGGAATTTATTTTTCCTTCATTTTTATTCTCTTACTTTAGTGATGAGGACCCCAATCAAAATTTCATGGGGTTCTTTACAATGAGCTTAGAGGAGGGTGTTTCCTTTCCAGGTTTGGTAACTTGTGTCACCTGCAGAAAAAAAGAGACAATTTACTCTTCCTAATGTTTGGCTGTTTCAAGACAGGCAATCTGACATGCTTTTCTGTAGCTGCAAAGTTTACAGCCAAGATAGTTTCCTGCCTGCTGTTTGGGGTTATAAAAATTACCTACAGACTTCCCGTTGTTCAGAAACAGCTTGTCATTGCAAATCAGCTTAGCCACCCAATTAATGAATCCTTTCAAACATGTTGCAGGCACAATAATTGAAGCCTTTATTTCCCCCCCTTTACCACAGAAATTCTTCTGGTCTCAAGTTTATCCTGTGAACAGCCACCCACTCACACCTACCTAAGACAGATTCAAGGTAAAGGAAGCGTGGAAATGTGTTTGTGGACCAAACATTCAGAAATTTGGGTACCATTGTTCTTTCTACTCAGCCTCATTCCCTTGACTGAGACAGTCAAACCCTCAACCAAGGACAGCAGCAGCACTGGGAGTCAAGGCCAACTGGCAGAAGTACTACAGGTTCTCTCTGCTGGTGACCATCCGCCCCTCAACCACTCACGAAGCCTCATCAAAACATTGTTGGAGAAGACGGGGTGCCCCCAGAAGACAAATGGAATACGAGGAGATTGTAACCTGGTTAGTGAAATACAATGGGGTCAGGTGCCAAGGTGTGTTCCAAAGAGAGTAATGGATGCTAGGGTTGCTTACTTCAGCAAAGCAAAAGGAAATGCAGATCTTCTAAAACCCAAGTGGGCAATGCATTGTGGTCAAATAACATCCAGATTTGGGATCCAACAAACCATTCAGCATTCTGCAGAGAACACTTAAAGATAGAGAATTTGTTGTTGTTGTTGTTGAAAGGGTAATGTTTATGTTTTCGAGAACACTTCTGTATGTTTAGAGGTGTTTATGAGCTTGAACTTTTAGTCCTTTCTTCTTTCTAATTTTATAATCTTTTTTGAGCCTGCAATCAACTTGCCAGTGACTAGTTAGAGAGATGCTATTTGTTTTCTGTAGTGTAATTATAGCAGTCTAATGTTTGTCTCATGTTCAATGTTTGAGTACTTTTTCTCTAGATGTTGATTGGGGTTTTCTGATATTTTTCATGGTAGGAAGTTCATGATTGGATAATTGTCTTCATAATGACGAATCTGAGCTGAGGGAGAGAAATGCTACATACAGGTAGACCTGAAATTAGATCCATGACTTCTGAGGTCCATAGCACAGCTTTCTCCTAGTCTACAAAGTGGATCCCCACCCTGGATGCACTTCTGAATCTGCTGGCAAGTTTCACAGATACCCATGTTGGCACCTTATCCTCCTCAGATGGAGACTGAAATTTCCCAGGATGGAATAAAAAAAAAAAAATCTCTCCAGATGAACTTAATATACATTCATTGGAGGCTTGAGAATTCATCCCATTGGGGTGGGTAGATGCCATGGTAGAGAGGTGATAGAACAATGTATAAGGTGAGAGCCCTGTGTCTTTAAAATAACTGCAAGGAAAAATTAAGTAAAATTGATCTTTACCATTGTATTGCTGACCCATGAGATTTTGGGGGGAAGAACCTACAAATATATAGTTAAATGAAAAAATAAGCAAAACAGATGCAAATAACTGCTTCCAAATTTTCCAGATTAAATTTTGGAATTTTCTTTTCAATCATACATAGTTCTGGGATGGGGAAGGATTTCATGGCCAAATGTTTTCTTTCTTCTTCTTCTTCTTCTTCTTCTTCTTCTTCTTCTTCTTCTTCTTCTTCTTCTTCTTCTTCTTTTTTGGTGACAGAAGGGATCTTGCTCATAGATAAGAGTCTTTCTCTGCTCTGTTTCAATGATAAATAATTCAATAATTATTAAAATGTCCAGTGGCTCCCAGAGGACACTTGTTATAATAGGCACTTCATGTATGACAACATTAATATGTACATGGATACATAGCAACAGAAGACATGCCTCTAGATGTACCCAGGAATCATGTGTTATGAATGTCCTCTGAGAATTTGCTTCAGTGCAACGTTCTCCTTTAATGACATGGAGTGCCTTATTAAGGCTGCTTGAATATGATCTTGCTAGGGGGAATGTAAACAAGCAAAATTGTTCTCCATTTTTGGGGCTGGGGAAAAGGGATTGTTTCACATTTATTGTTTTCTGTGTCATTATCAAGAATTTGACCCATTTGGCTTTCCTTTGAATTATTTTCATTCCAGGCCTTGAAATAGTATAATAATTTCAAGCTCTTTCTGATGCTCTATTTCTTCCTTTCTGGAAGAAAATTGAAGTGAAGCAAGGTGAATCTCAGCTTCACCTGCTCAGTGGGCTTCCACTCACCTGACTTACCTGTCACCAAGGAGCCCAGGGAATGTATCCCTGCCATTCATGAGAAACTAGTGAAAGCAGAATCCTTCTGATTTCATGAATACCCAGGTTCTGTCCCAAACCATAGGGCTTCAGCTTGCTTTGAGTCTCTGGTCATCTCAGGGACTTTACTGGTAGGCAGGGCTCATGCTAGAAACTCTATGGTAAAATGAGAGGGTAAGGGAGTGAGCTCATATCTCTCAATGTCTGGAAAAGTAAGGGAAGTGGGTGCCTTGAATTTGTGAGGAGGAAAATATTGTAAGTCTACATAAACATAGAATTAAAAGAAAACCTGAGGTTCCTTGGAAATATTGGGCATTTAAATATAAACCGATTCCTCTGTAGTCTTTGGATAGCTCTTATGTGATCCTGGCTTTTTCTTTTCTTTCTTTTTTAATGAGAAACAGCTTTAATGGACTTAATGAGGGATTAAGTGGCTCTACTTCAGTGCTAATGTGAACCAGGACCCTACATGGTTTCCGGAAGGAAAAAGAGCCTGGTTCTGGCACCTTCTAGCTTTTGGGACCTGCTGACTCTCGGCTTCCTCATCAGTAGAACTGATCTAGTGAGTCTCTCCTTGGGGATATCTCTGGGGATCACAGGGACATCTGGGCATGCATGAGCTTGGACACAGGAGCTCAAGTTTCCTCTTTGCCTTCTCTTCCCTGTACCTCATGCAGATGTAGCTGGTCCTTCCTGGTCCAGGGACATTGGAACAGTGACATTCTTCAGAATACTTTTCCTGCCTGTCCCACAAGGTCCCCTCAGCTGTGCCAGATGCTCAAGATTTTAACCAAGTTCTTCAGACAATTCTCAGCCACATTTAAGTTGAGACACAAAGGTTTTTCGTTTATTTCACACTCAGCACCACCCTCCCATTCATTTGTCATAACTTTCATGGGATACAATGTAGAAAATTATAAGATTTATCTTGCATCTTTAACAAGTTTACCTTCACTCTTCGCAGTAAAGACTTTCTTCTTGTCAAAAAAGCCACTAAAACTTGTTCAGACCCATCAAGAGCCATGGTCTGCCATCAGCTAACATCCATCCAGCCCTTTGGCAGGAAAAGGAAGAAATAAAATTTTCTTCTTGTATATTAACATTGATTATTGTCCATTAAAAACAAATATTCCTCATCCCCAAACAAGACCTCACAAAAATCTAAGAACTTAAAAGAGGACAGTAGATTGGATCAAAACCTAATTTTTAATATTTATGAGGCTAAAACCTCAAGTTCATCCTGTAGGTTTGGCAGCTGTCTTATTGACGTACAAAAAAAAGAAATTATCATATTGCTTTTTGTCACCAAGGTTCTCACCTGGCATAAGCAATAAGCGAAGCTGAATCACTTACCTAGCCAATCTGATTTGGCTTCAGGGTGTAATGAACAATTATTACCAAGTATCAGGGTAACCTATTAGCTTGTAAGGAAGCCTCTGCTTGAATTTGAATCAATCTTTTGCCAAAGCTTTTTGCTTTATGAAGTCTTCAAAATGAATTCCTAGAATCTGTGTGGGCATTTTTCCTTTTACAACTTATGCCTCCACATGACAAGATTTAAAGGAAAATCATTGGATTATTCCTGAATGGGTCTATTCTTCTTTAACAAAGAATCACTTCACTATAGTCAGCAGCCTTGGTCAGAGTAGATCTTGATGCCTATGGGGTGGCAATAATTGCAAAAATTTGCTAAACATCCTTCCCAAACACAATTCAGTCAAAAACTTTAACAATGAAAACAAATCTAGTGGCCATATATTGAAAATCCTTGTCCCCTTCCCCACCACCACCCCCTAAAGTGCTTTCAATTGGGGGATTTGTTTTTCCTTATTTATTTCATTTGATGCTTTATGCTGCATTTGTTCCTCAAACCACCATCTTCTATATTAGGATAACTTTTCTAAGATTCTAGTATCATCAAAGGGAGCAAAGTTCTCAGGTCCTGGTCATTTAATCCACAGTTACACTTTTTTTTTTTTTTTTTTTTTTAGCCAGCCTCAAAATATTAAATCAAGGGCTAGGTAGTACCTGTTTATTCAACTGAAATCTCTAGAGACACAAAATTAGATGCTTCCATAACTGGTTTAAATTTTTCAAAGTCAGAAGTTAGTTTTACCTTGTGTGTTGTATGCCTTGTACAAACCAGTTTTGTAATACTTAGCACAATTACAATGCATACCCCATTCTCAGCTTCCCCATGCCTTGCAAACCCGATATTCTAATCCTGAAAAGGCCTGGCAAAATGTTGAGCAGGAACTATTGATGGATTGAGTCTCAGGCATCTCAGACCTGATGAAATGTGGCCACATACACTGCTGTGTGTCCAAGCCCTGGCTATCTGTGCATGGTCTGGTGGCCTCATGAGCATTCTCTCTTGGTGTTGATGTTCTTCTTCCTACTGATCCAGCCCCACCCATCAGTATATCATCATGAATTCATTTAACCCTCTGCATGTATAAATTCCTCATTCTGATTGCTCTTTGAGTTTTACCAATCCTATTGATCCTAGATGATCTTTCTTCCTATAAATTAGGAAGGAAGGAAAATAATTGATTGGGAGGGCTGTACAATGGGTCCACAGCTTATGTTCTCCATGACACAAAAGAAAACAATAAAAGAATAAGGCCTATTCTTGCTAGAGCAGGAATGAGCATTAGTACAACTAACCATTATGAGCTCTGTGGCTTTAAGCTAGTTACTTATCAGGTCTTATACTGGTTTTCACATATACTAGAGGTACACTTTTTTTTTAACAGAAGGAAAAAATAATTCTTATTTCTGTTTATTATCTTTGCATATTGCATACAAATGTATCCATCAATTCACTAAATATTAAGTAATTGCATAACTGGTATTCTAAATGCCTTACAGTATGTGAAAATATTTGGTGGATTATTATACAGGCTGAGGATATTTTTCCATCTAAAATAATGGAATAGGGTTTTCACTGTCAAAGAAATCATTATCCTAAACATTTTCCAGAACCAATTAGATTATACTCTGAGGAGTGCCTGGATATTAAGGTGCTTAGCACAGTTCTGGGCACCAAACTGCTAATAATTGGGAGCTAATACTACCTTAGTTTGGTTTCAGGAGGAGGTTGTTTGGCACCAAGAATGACTTTATTGCACTTTTATTTCAACTTATTCCCTTGTTGTTGGTGTTAATCCTGCAAAAGGCTAAACTTGTAAAAGTAAAATTCACTCTCATTGCAAATCCTGTTTCTCCTCTCTTTGCTGAGTTCTCAAGCCCTTGCAATTGAGATGGGAGTGAGACTGGAGTTCCTTGGCTTGTGGAAGAACATCATTATCCTTTGCTTTGGAAATTTGTTCCTCTGGATCAGGGTGGTATGTACCAGAGGGCACCTTCTGACCTACTGGGTAGCATAGAAGGCAGAGAATTAGAACCTCTAAGTGGGGACAACTCACTGTGAGATACTGGCAGGCATTTCATTACTTCACTCTGAGGTTGTTGTGGCTAGGTAATGGAGCTGCTTCTCAGATTCTGTGAGAATCTCAGGAGCTTCCCAGTTGTCTCTGACAAAAGGTAGCTGCTCTCTTGCTAAGAAAGCTGCCTATCCACAATTCCCATGTCCATCTTTTTCTTACTGCCCTATGATGTTATCCCTAACCCCTCAGTTCCATGTGAACTTTTCAGATTAGAGGAGCCACATCTGCCTGTGGTTTGTGATAGGGGACCAAAGACTTTTCCTCTACCCACTTAGATTCTGTGACTGAGGCCTGTGAGCTGAACTGACTAAAGCCTAGCAGAAGAAAAGGCATACAGGTTTAGTTTGATGTCAATATTTTTATGTGGCTTGGAAAACCTCACAGGAAGAAGTGGAAGCCCAGAAGAAGTGGTTGGACCCAGGGACTTTCATACCATTTTAACAAAGAGCAATAAATTGTGGAGATGTGACAAGAGGAGGGAAAATGGGTGGTAAACTGTGGGGAAATGAATGGAAAATAGATGATGGATACTAATTTCCTTTAGTCAAGTTTGTATAGAAGAATATCTGCATCAATTCTGTCTCCAGTGATAAGAATGTTTTCATATTCTTGGTACATGGAGGAAACATTTCTCATGGGAAATTATAATGGCGTTTAGAGACAAAGGGGGAGGGCAGAGAGACTTTCTTCATCTACTGATTTTCAATTGCCTTCAGCTCAACGGAGTCAGTGTGCCAAAGTGATATGTTTTTGGGGTGGTATGTGTTCTGATTCTCTTCAGTGGAAACATTTTTAGCAATTATCTTTGGTAAGATTGATGAGGGGTATATAGCACTCCATCATTGAATTTTTATACCTAAGTAAACAACTGCACAAAATTGATAAAAACCTAGCCTTCATGATCCACTTGTTTTCATGGGGGATAAAGAAAATAAACAAGAAAAAAACCCAGTAATTTTATAATACTAGTGCTATGAAGCAAATAAAATAATGATATGTTCCAGAGGTGGCTATCTAACACAGTGGCTATAGCCACTTGTAGATATTGAGCACTTAATATGTGCTTCATCAAAATTAATAATTTTTAAAAATCTTTGATTACATGCTGAAATGATCATTATTAGGGATATATGAATTTCTATAAAATATTATTAAAATTAATTTGGCCTGTTTCTTTTTTTTTAAATGTGGCTTCTAGAAAATTCCAAACACATGTAGCTTGCATTATATTTCTATTGGACAGCATTGTGCAGAAGAACAAAGATTGGGGGCAGGCAGGTCTTTGGGAAGGCTTCCCTAAAGGGATGGCACTTTGAGCTAATGCCTGAGAAATAAGGGGAACAAGAAGACCCAAAAGATGTGGGAAAAGAGCTTTGAGGAACCGACAGAAAAATCATAGGGGCAGAATTTCAGTTATATTGTAGAGAAAGGCTAAGATGAGGTAGGGCAGGTAGGGTAGACAGGGGCTAGATCAGGAAGAAAACTGTAAGGAGTTTGGGTTTTATTTGATATCTCATGGGAGATCATTTTAAAAGCCAAAGAATTGGCTAGTTTTATGTAAATCGGCAGATCTACAGCTATATGACTGACAACTATGACAGTGTGACAACTATGGTTGGAGATAGAAGGACTAGACTACTCTTAGAAAAAAAGGCTTCCGAGGAGAGCATTATTGTTATATGAAAGTCCAGCCATGATGCTCCTATCTGAATCTAGTTATCAGACCTGACTCCTTTCCCCTTCTACACATAAAGTATAGGCAGTGGAGACCTCATGGCTGTCCGTGTTCTGGAGCTGTTTGTTAAAACTTTGCTTTTGTTTCTTTCTTCCCTCCCCTCCACAGTGTTTTGAACCAGATGCACTATTACTAATAGCCGGAGGAGACTTTGAAGATCAGCTTAGAGAAGAGGTGGTCCAGAGAGTTTCTCTTCTCCTCCTCTATTACATTATTCACCAGGAAGAGATCTGTTCTTCAAAGCTCAACATGAGTAATAAAGAGTATAAATTTTACCTACACAGCCTCCTGAGCCTCAGGAAGGATGAAGACTCCTATTTCCTTTCACAGAATGAGACAGAAGATATCTTGGCTTTCACCAGGCAGCACTTTGACACATCCAGAAGCCAGGTAACAAGGGCACAGTTGCTAACTAGCTCTGCTGCTAAGATGCTGTCTCAGAGTCTTATTCACTTATTTATATTTAGTCAGTTAATGATTCCCAAGTCTTTCAAAAACTTCTAAGAAAGATAAGTATTTATGTGGGTTTTTTTTCTAATTCACGGTATGGTAAGTGACATGATTCAGAAATCTGAGTCTAAAAGTGGAAATGTGATGACTAATCAGAAGATGTATTTTAGCCAGAAAGCCAGTGCTGGTAGGCAGGCAGGACAGGTGATGGGCAGCTCTGTCTCCTGACTCCCCTTGAGCACTCCAGTGACTCAGGGTTTTTAATTAGTCTGCAAGGACTGAACTGTAATGGTGGAGGGTACTGTGTCTACCTACCCTGCTACTGGCCAGGGAAGAAGGCAGAAACAGTTTGAGAGAGGTGAATTCATTGTTGATTATTTTCCCAAGGAAGCATCTTGCCAAAGGCATTATTCATGATGATCAGCATGAGCCCTTTTATGATTTTTGATTACATGGTCTGCCTGTGCACAGGGTCTGTTCAGAGGCCTCTCATCTTTCCCAGCTCCCATTAGGAAATGGGCACCTGCTCATTTGCTTCCTCATTACTATTCTAGCAAAAGCTGAACTTTTAATGGTGTTTATGCTTTCTGGGTTGCAGTGGAAAGTTTCAGAAGGTAAAGATTCTGAACATCAAGGTTTTTGAAGCCCCTTTTCCTAGCAGAATTAATTGAGGACCTGTACCACTTTGAGAAATTGTTGAAAATATTTTTTCTCTCTTGAATTATTCATTGATTATGTGTAGACATTTTGGTTCTCGGTCTCAATGGTTACTTCTAGTAACCTAAAGGTATCTGAATAGTCATGCTTTGACTTAATGGCCAGCAGACATATCGTCCAGTTTGCTGTAAATCTGTTTAGTTTCTCTTGTCATTAGTGGAACTAATAGAAATTCTGTTTACAGGGCACTTTGCCAACATCATGAAGTAGCTCTAATCATGTAAATATCAAATTTGGACCATGATCTTGTTTCTAGTTTCATTTTAGGAAAAATTTCCTTGAGAGAAATCAATTTTCTGTTTAATAAGGATGTGTTCCTGGGTATGATGGCTTCATTATAACATCTATACAACATAAGATGCGTTTGAATTAGCCACTAGGAATTTAGTCATCCTCCCCATTACTGTCTTGTGATGCAAATTAAATGGAAACCCAGTGCTTAAAACCAGATGGTGTGTATGTGTCTAGGTTTATGGTTATTACACACGTACTGCCAATACCTGGGTTTCTAAGTGTTTATGAGATCAGACATTCTCAGAATAGGGTAAAATAATGTTACATGGACAACTTTTAGTCAACAGGAATTGATCTCCTGCTCTCATAGCCTTTGCTAGGTCTTAGATTAGTGATCTCCTATAGATAGCACTGTTCCTAGTTCTTGGAACTAGGAACACCCAGGACTCCCTAGGAAATCAGTCGATATAGACTTTTGCAGAAGGCTGTTGACACCTCACTGTAGCTGCCGCTCTTTTTGACCAGATGATGTGAGGTCATGGTAGGGGGTGCTGGAACAGGAGACCCTTCACTAGCATCCCCAGGTCTTGATCTGCACAGGACTTGGCTTCTACGAATCAAACCAGTAACAGCTATTTCAGGTGAACCTCACTCATTCCCCAAAAGAAACACCTCTACTCCCTAGGGTCCTACTGCGGCCAACTCGCCTAAAGAACAAAACACAAACATCATTTTATCTCTTCATTCCAAACAACTTTGTCTCCCATCTTCCTAACTCAATCCCTTAGTGTTCCACCTCTTCTTTTACTGTTTGTGATTTCTTGGTAGAGGAATAGGTTTGTGCACAGAGCTCTCTGCCAGCCCTGCCCCTTGCATAGAGAATGCGCATTCTTGGCTACACCCTAAACACTTCAAGGATGAAATCAATGGCACCTTGTAAGGGTTACTATTTTACAACCTCTATGAAAAATTCATACTTCTGTGAGGTTCATGTTATCTAGTATTTAACTTATTTTCATGCAAAAGAACTTCTTGCTATGTCTCCAAATCTATCAAGATTTTGATAACTGACTCTCAGCCTTCCATTCTGCTGTCTACCACAGCAATGAATATGCTCCCTGCCAAGTTCACCAATTACAGACTTAGAAAGGAATAAATCTAATGTGTACATTTTATTTCTTGTCCCAGGTCACGAGAATTGGACATTGACACAATAACCTTCTTTTCATTTCTCTGTTGATGAGCACATTCTCTTCTTCATCTGGAGTGGGCCTAGCCTGGTGCCAGGCACACAGTAGGCATAAAATCAATGTTTAAACCAACAAATGGGAATACTAATAGAATATAAGGGAAAATTCTAGCCTTTTAGATATTTATAATTTAGTTGAGCAAAATTAACATATAAATATGAAAAAAGGCTCCGTGTCATTTGTCCTATGTCTTTAAGAGTTCCAAAGAACATAGACCCTGTGCTGACTTTTGATTTGTAATAAGTTCACACTGAACTTGAGACTAAGGGCTGATGTGGAAGTAAGTAAGTGCCCTGTGATGGTTAAGGCAGCAGGGCTGGTGTGAAGTCAAGGTAGGGGATATAGACTTGAAAGTCATTGGTCTGCAGGCTGTGTTGGAAGGTGGGAGAGATTTCACCAATTGAGAGGATGCTATAAGAGCAGAGGATCATCTTGGGAAAAGCACATCCATGAGATGATAATAAGAAAGGCTGGATAACTGAGGACTGGTGGAGGGGGCCTTAGAACACTCAGTATCATGGCAGATCAAAGAAGTCAGTATTGGGCTAGCGATACAGCTCCGTTGGTAGAGTGCTTTGCCTTGCATGCACAAGGCCCTGGGTTCAATCCCCAGCACAAAAAAAAAAAAAAAAAAAAAAAAAGTAGAAGAAGGGGGTATTTCCAAATACAATTGCATCTGAGACAACTTTGTGAGATGACAGTCATTACCATACACAATTCAATCTTCTTTCCGATGGACTATTCCTTGTCCTTGGGGGGAAATCCTAGAGATAATTTTAAAGTATTCAAAATAATTTTAGAAGTTAAAAGTTTTTTCTTTGTATGTGATTTCAGTGTATGGGAACTAAAATGCTACAGAAAAAATCTGGAATCCAGAACAGTGACGGTGCAGATGAACATACACTTCCCAGATTGGCAGCGACAATCATTGCTTTGTCCCTCCAGGGTGTTTGTCTGGGACGAAGAAACTTGCCAGCCCCAGACTATTTTACAGAATATATTTTCAGTTTCTTGAATAGTACAAATACTCTCCACTTATCAGGTAAGGAGGATCTTCATGAATTTAACTTCCAAGTCACAGCTTCCAAAATGATTGTGCCAAAAACAAAGGCTGAAGCATTTCAGTGACTGAATTTGTTCAGTTGTATTTTAAGTACCATTTTATGTTGGCATGTAGTAAGAGGGGCTCAGGTGGCTTTTCAAGGCAAATGTGTTATGATGTCTGTGTGGTGATGAGGTGTAAAGATAGATTTGGCCCCTTTCTGTGTTGATGAAAATTGTGATATCAAGCCAAAGGGAAGATTTTTAGGTCTGCCATAGACCTAAATATACCCTTTCCTAATTGGCACATAATACTGGGGCTGTAGCTCAGTGGTAGAGCACTTGCCCAGCATGTGTGAGGCACTAGGTTCAATTCTCAGCACTGCATATAAATAAATAAATGTCCATCAACAACTAAGAAGTAATTAAATAAATAAACTGGGACAGAGGTGGCAGAGTGTTCTGTAGAATCATGAAAGACTAATTCACTAATTCAGGGTTCAAGATGGTCAACAGCCAGTTTGCTTATCATCATATATGTGAACCATTTAATTTTAAATTAAAATAATGTGAATTTTCTGTCTTTGCTGAATTCCTTTTTGGGGCTCTTAGATGAAATGGGGTGTCATGAAGGAAATCAGAATTTTTTTGCACATTTCTTTGTACTGGGTAAGACAGATGACAGATGACTCAAAAGTGGTATGACTTATTTTTCAAATCTGCATTAAGATGGATAGAGAGAGATTTTTAAAAAGCATCTCATTGCCGATATCACAAGTGAAAAATAATGATTTCTTAATATCATAAAAATGTGCTCACATTTTCCTGACTTTTAAAAATGTTTTTTTTTGAAAAATCAGGATCCAAAAAAGGTTTATAAAATGCAAAATGCAAATTGTTGGTAGAGCTCCTAAATATCTTTAATAGAGCCTAAATATCCTTAGGTAGATCTCAAATATCCTTAATCTCAATTGTTCCCCTCCTTCATCTTATCTATTTTGTTGCAAATTATTTTGAGGAGGGGAAAATAAAAAGGTCCTTTACCATCTGGATTTTGCTGATTGATTTCTTAGTTTTTTAACACGCATTTCTATGTGTTGCGTTTCATATATTTTGGTTGTTACATGTGAAGGCTTGATTAGTTTTCAGTTGTTATTTGGGAATACTATTTTATAGTTGATATCTTCTTCCAAGAAACATATAACATTTGGTTGTCTCTTTACTGAGATATTGAAGGTATTGATGATGATCATTGCCTACATGGATTATTTAGGACTTGCAAAATGGTAATCTTCTAATTTTCTCATTCCTGTTTTATTCATTGGTGTGATAATTCTACACTAGAATAACTTCCTCTCATCAGTATTTCATTTGTTGAAGTTCCTAGAGGAAGTTCTCAAAGGAAATTGATATTTTAATTGACCAGTTTTCAAAATAGTAACACATTTCTTTGCATCTTTCAAAGAACAGTGAGGTTTTTAATAAATATTATGATGTCATATCTCTCATTTGTCATTATTATCCTAATTGGTGCTTAGAATGTTCCCTCCTTAACTTGTAAAAACTTATTTAAGTTGACTTTAAGTCCTTTTGACAAATATCATTAAAATATTTTGCATCTACCTTGCTTTCCAAAATAACAAGATATTTCAGGCTTATCCTATACATTTCCTGTCCAGACCTGGAATCAGTCATTTTCTCAAATATTTTATTTTTATACAATTATGTAGTCAAACTTTACTCGTATTTTCAAAGATAGTTAAGAAAGCTTTTCATATCCCCAGGTTATACAAGTCACTCACGTTTTCTTCCATTATGTGTATGTTTTTTATTTCTGATACAGTTTGGATTATTTCTGGTGTATATTGTAAAGAATAGATTCAGTTTAATTTTTCTATGCAACTCTCCAGTTTTTCTTATACCTCTTATGCATTATTTCCTCCACTGACTTGATAAAATTCTTTCATATGATACAATAAAGCTCTGAACACAGTGGAGCCTGTTTCTGGATTTTTCTAGTCCGGTCTATTCATGTGCTAATACCTTGTGATTTTATTTGTAATAGTTTTCCAGTATACTTAAGTACCTCGTACAGCTAGCCTTCTTCATAGTTCTTTCCAAGATTTTCCTAGTTTGCTTGTTCATTCTAATGAATACCATCAAATTGTCAAGCTCTAAGAAAAATCTTAAGGTAATTTTATTATGATAGAAAAAAATATGTATATATAGAAAAAAATATATATAAATATATTGCATATACATATATAATTATATGTATTATGTATATAAAATTACTTAAAGACAATTGGTATTTATAAGGTGTTGCACCTTTATATCCAAGAACAAAAAATGTTTTTCCATTTATTCATGTCTACATGTATATTTTTATGGAACTTTTAAAAATTTTTCTCACACATGTTTTAGGAGTTTTTTGTTATTTTATACATAGGCATCTAACTTTCTTTTTGGATCTCGTAAGTGAGGTTTTCTTTAATTATATCCTCTAGTTTATCTTTAGATATATGAAAGCCATGATTTTTTTTAGATTATTTTTGTAACCTACTCTGATTATTTTCTTTTTACATCAATTTTTAGGAGTTTCGGCTATATAATTATATCATCTTCAGAAAGATATAATTTTTTCTCTTTCTAAGTCTTGTATTTCTATTTGTTTCTTGTGGAATTGCACTGATTAATAATTCCAATATAATACAATAAGAGTGGGAGTGATTAGTATTCTTATTATATTGCTGATTTTAAAAGAAAAGCCTATAGTATTTCCTGATTAAATTTAGATATCCTACTGTTATGTATAACTAATTAGAACAAATTAAAAGTATTTAGAGAACAAATGAGCAAAATATTTTAATTAACTTGCATTCTTATGTTTCTAGTACTCTTCATTTTTCCAGTAGACTTGAACAAAATGAAAAATTTAAACAAAAGGTACATTTGGGTCATTTCTTTTAAGCCTAAAGGACTTAATTTTATATTTCTTATAAGGCAGATCTGCTAGCAATGAATTCTCTCATTCATTGTTTACCTGGAATTTTTTTTCTCACCTTTATTTTGAAGGATTATTTTGCTGGCTATCAGGTTCTTAAATGACAATTTTTTTCTTTTTGCTCTCTGATTATACCATCCCACTACTTTCAGGTCTCTATTCTGATGGAAAGTCAGTGGTTAACTGTAGTGATGCTCCCTTACATGTGATGAGTCCTTTTTCACTTTTTGTTTTCAAGAATTTATCTTTGTCTTTTGACATTCAACAACTTAATTATAATGCTTTTGGGTGTGGATCTTTTTGTGTTTATCCTCCTTGGTGTTTGATGAGCTTTTTGAACACATTAGATTTTTACATTGATTGGAAAGTTTGGGGGTATTATTTTGTTCAATAGGTTATTTTTTGGATTTTTTTCTCTTTGTCCTCTCTTTCAGTGACTGCCAATACATAGGTTTGATATGCTTCTTGTTTCATAACTCTCTGAGACTTCTTGTTCTTCCTCTGTTTTTACTTTCTATTCTTCAAAATGGGTTGTTTCTGTTAATTTATCTTTTTGTTTAGTGATTCTTAATGGATTCAATTTTTAATTGGTACATTTTAGTTATGTGTAAAAGTGGAATTCATTGTGATAGATGTATACATGTGCATACATAATTTGGTTAATTTCATTCTGCTGTTTCTCCTTTCTCTAGCCTTCTTCTCCCTAATTCCCCTTCCTTTACTCCACTGATTCCCATTATATTATCATAAGACCCTTCCCCTTTTAAAAACTTCATTATTTCTCTCTGACTTCCATAGGTAAGAGAAAGATTCAAACACGATTTTCAGTGTCTAGCTTATTTCACTGTTTAATGATTCCCCCCCCCTTCTCAAATATGTTATTGAGTGTCTTTAGTGAATTTTTTTGTTATTATGTTTTCCTTCTCCAGAATTTCTTTTATTTAATTTTTATTTCCTTATTGAAAATTGCTATTAGTTGATTTGTTGTTTCATACTTTCCTTTTTTTCTTTAAGTATGTTTTCCTTTAGTTCCTTAAACATGCTTACACTAGCTGCTTTGAAGAATTTGTTAGAACCAACATCTGGGATTACTCAGTGATGTATTTGTTGACTACTCGTTTTCCTGAACATGGGTCACATTTTCCCTTTTCTCTGCAAGTCTCATGATTTTTTTAAATTCAAAACTAATCATTTAAAATAAAATTCTAGTTTGTAGTTTTTCTATCATTGATAACATTTAGGAGAATTCCAAAGACATTTTAGTAACAAGTAAAAGGATGAATAAATCCATATGAATTTATAATTTCATTTAATTTTTCTCTGTATAAATATTTTTTGAAACCTAGAGTAATACTGAGGGAAACAAAATTGCAATCTATAAACTTACATTTATTCCATAATATCACTGGAAAACAAGATCTAGTTTGTCTCTGTAATCACATCTCCCTTTCATTTATTTTTTCTTTTCTTCATATCCACAGAGGAAGACACTTTGATTGACTTAGCTACAAAAAGTAGTAATCAATCTACTAATGATGTGGATTGACTCAAGGAAATACATTTCCTAAAAACTAGGCTAGTATCTTCTTTAATTTATACATTTGTATTAAAGGAAAATATTTTACTTAATGGAAGACATTTTCATTGGTTGTGTTGCCCATTTATCATCTCTAGTGTATTTAAATGGTGGGAATACCTTTAAAAGATTGGTTCAACCTTAGGTAGATCCTGTGAGAGAATCCATATTCATGTGAGGTATAAATGTTATGTCTTTGTTCAGAATGAAACCTTGATTTTTCAATAGAACAAAAATTTATCTTGTAAAATGTCTATGCTGTAGCCATGTGAAATTATAATTATTCTGAACAAGATCTGCCTATTCTATGTAACACCCAATTTTGTATGAAATTTCTAGAACTAGACCAACTTCTCAATACTCTCTGGACCAAAACCACCTGTATCAAAAAGGATAAAATCCATCAACTTCAAAGGAAACAAAACAACATAACAATCCATGATTGGGGCTACTCTAATCTATCTGTGTCTGTGGACAAAGGTTCAGATGATGGCCCAATTTCCTGGGATCAGGTATTTCCATTATTTCTCTCATATAATCATTTGCTATTAATAAAGAAATTCAGCAGTGAGAGTTCTATCAGAGTTGTAGAAAATTCAAGAAGAGAATGTATATTTTCTTGAAAGTAAAAATGATTTATTTCTATAGCATGGTCTTACTTCTTTTTCTATAAGCAAGTTCCTGTAGAAATAAAAACAAGGGGGTTGGGGATGTGGCTCAAGTGGTAATACGCTCTCCTGGCATGTGTGAGGCCCTGGGTTGGATCCTCAGCACCATATAAAATAAAAATAAAGATGTTGTATCCACCGAAAAGCCAAGATATTTAGGAGAATGAAATATATTGCTCTTTTCTTCTTTGGGTCACTATCAAATCCATATAAAATTAGTTCAGAAAATATATGGTGAACATTTAGTATGTACCAATCACCATCCTAGGCATAATGAAATCAGTGCTGAATAAATATAGGAATAGCATTTAAGGATAATACAAGGCAGAGGAGGATATATACATTGCATAAATATCTACAATAATGCATAAATAAATTTAAGTTAGATTAGGAAGTTATTGCTTTAGATTGTGAGCAACATGACATTATTTGTATAGTAGATGGTACTGTAGATTTTTTAAAAGGTGATAGGTGAGCCTACAAACATATCTATATCTGTATTTCCTAAAGTTGTGTTTCAGAGAATATTCACTGGTCTACCTTAGCTTCTCTTTAGGTGCTATGGTCAAACAAGTTGGGAAAATATACTGGAAATACACATTTAACTGTGGCTTGTGAAGGAGTCTGGAGAGGTTCATTTTAGACAAATTAATCTTACTGAACCCAACTTTGATCAAAGAATCTTTCTCTGCCCTACCCATTTAAAATCTTCAGAACTTAGTGTTCTGTGGTAATGGCTTGCATTTATTAGATACTTATTATGCATCAGACACTGTGTTATTTTGACCTGCATTAGTTCATTAATTACTAGACTAACTATATGTGTTAGTTTGTATTATTGCATCCTGTAAATGAGCTATGGAGCTAATAAGAATTGCTTGAGTTTATAGAAACTGAGGATATATATCTTCAGTTTTATATATATTACATATATAAATATATATATGATATATGCATATCATATATATAAATAATATAGGTCACATTCTTAACAACTGTGCTATTATTTGGGAAATGGTCCAGGAAATTGGACCTACTATATTATTAATTGGGAAATGATTTAAATGTCTTAAAAATATTTTGTTCTTTATATCTTAAATGAGCAATACTTCTATGAAATACACTCTGTATCTTAAAACAGACAAGAGTACCTACTTTATATTCCTAATAATTCTGAATGTTGTGTTCACAAGTTGTGAATGCATGATTGGGCAATATCAAATATTTTTGCTACTATGTATTTTAAAAAAGTTAATTTCTGTTACCTATGTCATGTATAAAATATATCAATCAGAATTGATTCTTTCAAACTTATGATTATTATATTCAATGGAAGGTACAAAAATGACCTCCAGATTAATCTTTGTAAAGTATGTCTTAAGTGTGTCTCCAGAGCCATATTTCAGGAAGGGAATAAATATGATTTATGGAAACTTCATTTGCATAAGGAACAAAGGTTATGTCTTAAAATTTATGTTTTCTTATTTAAGGCATGCATTTTTAAAAACAATTACAATTATTGTTTGTGCTAACTATCCAAAATAAATGAAATAATCTCTTCTACAATTATTCTTCTCTGTCCCAATATGTCACTTTTTTGTGACTCTTGGTGGGACGCTAACATGGAATACCAGTTCTGAGGACCCTGCTTATATTATTTAGACAACATTCTGCAAGTCTTGTCCCTGGATCAGAGACATTATTATCACCAAGGAACTTGTGAGAAATGTATATTCTCAGGCCCCACCCCAGAATTTACTGAACTAGCAACCCTGAGAATGGAGCCCAAAACTCTATCTTATAATAAGCCCTCCAAGTGATTATCAAAAGTAAAAATTAGACACTATTATTTTAGAAGACATTTGAAAACTTTCATAGAAATCTAATGACATCAACACAAGAGTCAGCACAAATTGAAGTTTTAGGCAAAGGAATAAAGGTGTTTTAAAGATTACTGACCAGATATTCTAAATTTTCATTCTATTCTTTAACATTTTATGGAATGTAATGAGTCACCACTAAGACATTCATATTAGCGATTTCAGAAGAAATTTAAAACAATAATGACTTACAGAGCAACAGCAAGTAAAGATCAAGGGCACAGAAGCTTATAATAGAATAACTGTTCTCTCTGAGAAGGTATTCTAAAACTAGAAGCTATTCAATTTCTTGACAATGAACTGGGAAAAGATGCATGATATTCTGTTCCTGTTTACCTCTGTGCTCTTACTTACCAGCTAGACATTTTCCCATAAGATATTTATGATGGAGATTTCATCATCAAAAGTGTGTTACTAATTTCCCTTTCTTTTGGCAGTATTTTAAATGAGATAAACATATTCCATCTGTAACAAATGGTTCAAAAAAGAATATTGTCTTTGGTACACATTATCTTATTTAACGGAGGAATACCACATATTTAACTTTCAGGTGATACTTTCAGGAGAGTAGGAACCTTTTTGGAATTCTTGCACAATTCCTTTCTAACAAATGCCTTCCTCACTCCTATCACATGGGTAGAACTGACCTACCAGACAGATAACTGACCCAAGAGAGCCCCCAGATGACTTTCCTGAACTAATCAGTTCTTTTTCAGGTTTATGCAGACTCAATCCATTCTTGGATTCCTGACTGAATGTCACTTTAGAATGGGAACTTACATAGCCTCATGATTATCAAATGAGAGGACAAAGTGTAGAAGGAAATAGATACCCACAGAAGGAAACAGAGAGGAAAAATGCTTCGTGTACATGTGTGCACACACATACACATCTTTGGTTCCGATTTCCAGTTTGGGCTGCAGCTCCTTACGAGGTGTGGCCTTCAGTGCCCGGATTCTCTGAGATCCTTTGTGTCCTTCTACTGTGGTCTCCTCCTGATTTTCTAGTTTGTGTGGTTTGTATTCCATGCAAACAAAAGCTTCCTAATCAAGAAAAAAATTTCTTATCTCTGGAACCATCACCAGATGATTTTTTTGTGTGTCTGTATGGTTGAAAAAGAATGTATCATTATTTTTTAATTAAAAACTTGTCTTTGCTTAAAATCTTAAAAATACTACAGCACAGCAAATCAGATTAGCCTCGTAAAGCACTGACTTTTCTAAAAACACTTTAGTCACTGCAACTAAAGATCACAAATATATTGCATTGGGGTCTTCTTTCAATAAAAGTCATTCATTTGTGCTTGTGAAAATATGTGCCAATTGCATTCCCATATTAAAACATTTACATTGTAATCTTTGATGTATACAGACATCAGCTTTTATTTCGGAGATGAAAAAAATGCCTTTTGGCAATTTTTAAGAGACTTGTTGCCTTTGTTGTTTATTTATAAGTTTTACTTAATTAATATGCCTATATCATATGGAAAATTATAAACATTAAGATAAAAAAATAAAACAATAGAAAACAACAATTCCTACTGTTCTGTGGAACGGTGATGTCAAGTAACACAGGTAGTCATATCATTGAGTGTTTGTGTACCAGCTAGTTGACACAGAATTCACTTTTAAAATTTTTAACCTTACTCTTATCACTTCTGGAAATACAGGTTGCCAAAACAGGCTTATTAAATCAGGGAGTTATTAAAGATAACGACCTCATTACCACCAAGTTCCTGTTTATCCCGTGAAGTCTTAGCTATGTTGAAAACCAACAAAACACAGACATCAAGCCCTATTTTGACTGCTGGTTCCATCACCATGCAGCACATTGTAAAAACAGTGTGTCTTTTCAGGAAAGAAAAAAGTGTGCAGGAAATATTAAATAAGATTCAGAATGAAAGCAAGGTGCTACAGACTTTGATCTCAGATTTAAAAATAATCCTGGGAGGCTCACAAAATGTTAATGAACAAAGAGCAGCAGGGAAAACGTATAGGAATGGCTTCCTCTGTCCATTGTCGACATTCTGTCTAGTTTGGTTCCTCAAGGATGGCAATTGGTGGCACATCTGGTTCAAAACTGAGGTTAGTAACAGCATGTTTTCCCCAAACAGACTTGCTTCTCTGCTCAGCAGCTGGTGGAGATATTTCTACAGAATAGATTTTCATCCATTTCTAAGGAGGACTTTAAGCAGTTGAGTCCAGGGATCATCCAGCAGCTACTCAGCTGCTCTTGCCACCTGCCCACCGACCAGCCAGCAAAACTTCTACCCACCACGCTGGAGAGTAAGTTCTGGTTCTTCATTAGGAAGCTGATCAGCCCAATGTATGTAATAATAATAGTGAGAACAGAGTATTTATGATGTACTAGGTGCTATTCTGAACATCCCATATTTACCAACTCATTTAATCCTCCAATAATGTGAGGAGAATAGGGGCTATTAGTATACTCATTTTACAAATGAGGAAACTGAGGCACTGAGATGTTCTGTGACATACTCAAGGACACACAGATGGTAAATGATGAAGTTGGCATTTAAACTTGGGCAAACTGGCCCCAGTGTCCATGTGTATAGCAATACTGCTTTCCAATAAATATTTCATATTCTGTACACAATTTATGTAAACTGATTTTGTCTTCCATATTTGACTCAAATCATAGATCAACTGAAAAACCCACAGTTGATAAGTGACACGATCTAAGAGAAAACACATTAGTATTGGAATCTAAAGTGCAGAATTGAGTCATCTCTTTTCATCCCTGGCCATTCCATGACCTTAAGCATATTTCTCCTTCCACAAAGTTGTCTCTTTTCTGCACAGTGAGATACTCTGGTGGTTCCTAGCCTTTCACACATCATGGAACATGTAAAAAATGAAGGCACACAAAGGTAAACCAAAGATGTGCTTGGATGGAGGTGACCAATCCAGTGGGATTCCAGCCTCCCAGTTATAGTTGACAGCCATAAGAAGTGAAGCCATGGACACTTACAGGAAGTGAAAGTACGGATACTTGCACTCACAGGAAGTGACAGAATCAACACTTGTACTAGCCTGAGTCCTGTTGAGTCACTATAGTAGACAAGCTCTCTCACAGACTTCAAAGGGTATCCATGAGGTTCTGAGGTGTTCATGAGTACAAAAATGGGTTCAGTGAACCTAAATCACTATACATGTAAGACCCTCCTCCAATGGTGGCTTAAGAATATCCATGACATATAGTAGAGATGTGACAGTTAACACATGCAACTCTGAAGTATTGCCATTCATTTGAGGACCTTATATGTATTTTTTTTTCAGAACCGCATTCTTTTTCTTTGAGCTAGCCTGCAATGCCCATCATAGCTAAATTATTTAGCAACTCACCTCTGAGCCACAGTGCATTCTATGGCAGCAAGTGGCTCATTTGAAGACTTTATGGGAACAAAAGCCTGCCAGGCCTAAAGACCAGAGCCTCCATGTTCACTGGGAAGGGAAAAAAAAATGTGTTCTTAAAAGTGAGCAGCTAAATAATTTAGTATCTGGTGGGCAGTGATGGGTCACAATGGTTGAGGACAGGACTGTGGTACCTATGAGCTTGTTTATATTCCCACCACTCAGCAGAGTGCCTGGTACATTCAAACTTGGGAAAGGGTTTTCAAACTCAAGATCTACAATGAAAGGTTTATTCCCCTTTCTGATAAACTTCTAGACTCTTCTAAGGAATAGTCTTCCTGAGAAAAATCTCCACAAATAACACACACTAAAGAGCCTAGAAAAAAAAAAAACATCACTGTCCTCAATTTAAAAATTTTCATTATGTGATTAAAGAAAAAGACTTGTGTTGGACCTTGGAAATTATAGAATATAAGATGTTGCATTAAAGACGGGAGGACCCAGGGATACATTATTAAGGAAATATTGTTTGCTAGGCTGTAACTAAACCCCTAAGTTCCACCTTTCATTGTTTCTGGGAAAGTGGATTATACCCATGTTTAAATCAAATTACAGACCTAGCTGCTCAGGAATGGCTAAGAATTTAATAGAGAGGTCAAGGTCTATTGAAATGATGGAAAATGCTTACAACATTCTGCAAGTCATCTGACTCCAATCAAGACACCATGGCACCTCTATAGAGACCTGGGGTAAATTATCAGAGTCCTTTGACCATAAATTCTGAGATTTTTATGGTTTTCAGGTTGCCCTTCCCAAAGGAGAGCAGGCAAAATCTGACCCACAGAGGATCTGAAAATATTTTGTAATGTATGTTATGAAACATCCATTCTCTTCCTCATCACATCTACCCATAGGACAAAAAAGAGTATAACAGGAAAACAGAGAACTTGAAAGTTTTCCCTTTGCCTATGAAATGTCATACCCTCACTTGTCCTTGGGAGTTCTTGACATTTTATGATCTTATATAGCTACTATAAAAATTTGACAGCCTTGAATTTTATTGGAAATTTAGATACCGAAATTAAAATTAAAATTGTTTTATGTAGAGATGGTAACAATGAAATTCCCATATAGAATCTATCTTTGTAGAGATGGTAACAATGAAATTCCCATATAGAATCTATCTGGGGAGAAATGAGAGATGAAACTTTGTTGGAAATCTTTAGAGATGTTATAACATAGGTATTCCTACTAAATTAGAATGAAATAAGACCTCTATGACCATTCCAACCACTTCAATTTTTTAAAGAAGTTTTTTCTTTTTCCAGTGCTGGGTATAGAACATAGGGTCTCACACATGACAGGCATTTACTTTACCACTAAGCCACATTCTACAGCCTTTTTTGAATTTAAAAAAATTAAATTGTGGTAAAATTTACACAAAATAAAATCTACCATCTCAACCTTTTTTTGGTTCTTGGGATTGAACCTAAGATCTCATGCATGCTAATTATTTGTTTTGCCATTGAGCTACATAAACAACCCCCTTAATCATTTTTCATTGTACAGTTCAAAAATGTCAAATATATTCACATTTGTGTACAACAGCTCTCTAGTACATTTTTTCATGTTGCAAAATAGAAACTCTACAACTATTGAATAATAAGTTTCCATCTCCCCTAATCATCTTATGAAATGTCCATTATCAATGAAGGCAATGGATGTGGGGGAATCAATGTCTGAAATTTTCGTCCTTCATCTGAGTTCTCTATGAATTCCATTTCAATATTAGACCCCTTAACAATTCAGAAGGTAGAATGAACAAAGGTCCTTCTAAAATCCCAAGCCCATCTCCATGTCACCAGTTGTACCATTAATATCGTCTAACGTGAAAGATGAACTTTCCAGAAAAACATAAAATTAGTTAAAAAGTACATTTTCTATTATAACATTCTTTTTTGTTGTTCTTTTAAAACTATTTTTTAGTTGTTGATGGGTCTTTATTTTATTTATTTGTATGTGGTGCTAAGAATAGAATCCAGTGCCTCACACATGCTAGGCAAGTGCTCTTCCACTGAACTACACTCCAGCCCCTCTATTATAACAACTTTTGAAAGCACATTTTCTTTAAAAGTGCATAGCACTTTAATTATTAGGATAGCTGAATTGTTTGATTTCAGCCAAATGAAAATGATTCCATGAATAACTGTTTATCTCCAAGTCATTTATTTGTTTCTGAAAGACACTTCTCTCTGAATGTTTGTTCTTCCATCTCCTCCTTTATTTCTTCACCTTCACATATATTTGTTTTTGTTTGAATAATCTTATAAATTTTACTTTTTTGCTTTTCTGAATACTAAAAAAAAATACCTGGAAACCTGGAGCCATGGTATAAATTTTAGGGGTTATAAAATTATTGCAGTAATCAAAAATACAGACTGTTCAACTTTATATTATCATCCATTCACATTTTATTTTTGGCTATTTTTTTTTTTACCAACAAATCACTCATTTTAGTTATTGAGAATAAGAAGTACTTTCAACATTGTATGTGGTTTTGAGAATTTGGGGGAAGAAGTTTACATAGTTATTTTGTACAGAAATGGATCTATCATGGGGCCAAAGTATGCCTCCCCTATAACATCTCTTCTTTGCCTTTTAAAGATTTAAAATCTATTAGATGGAACTCATTGCTAGTGTCTGTCAGTGGATGTTGTAGTTTTAAGAAACAGATATTAATTTCTTTGTGGTTTGGAAATAAACTAGGTTTGTGATTGCTTCTTTGATTTTTATTAAAGAGTAGTCAGAATAACTTCAAAGCCACGAGGTTAAGTGAAAGTCTTGTCTGAGTCCTTTCTATGACAATACCATAGAGTTGGGGACTTATAAATGAGAGAAAGTAAGATCTGGAGATTCAGAAATCCAAGATCAAGGTGCTGGTAGAGTGGCCTTTGGTGAGAGGTCCACTTGCTGGTGTCTTCTCACTGAGCCTCCAACTGGTGTAAGAAAGTCTGGTCTCTTTAGCGCCTTGTAAAGGTTATAATCCCATTCTCAGGGCAGAGCCCTCATGACCTAATCACTCCCCAAAGGCTCCACCCCCTAATATGGTCTCCTTGGGGTGTTAAGTTTGAAGGGAGCAGAGCTTCAGAGTAGTCCATTGTTTTCCATAAGAATTAAAACTTTCCCCATATTTTCGTTAGCTATTTTGCCGCTGTGACTGAAGCATCTGACCAGAACAATTTTAGGGAAGGAAAAGTTTGTTGGAGGGCTAGGGTTTCAGAGGTATTAGTCCATAGAAGGTCAGCTCCATTCCTTGGGGCTCTAAATGATTCTGGCATCATGGCGAGGGTGGTGGAGGGAAGCAGCTTACATCATGGTGATCAGCAAGCAGAGAGAGACTCTGTTCATCAGATACAAATATATACCCAAAGTCACGCCCTAATTCCCACCTCCTCCATCCACACCCTACCACTTCAGTTACCACTCAGTTAATCCCTATCAGGGGATTAAATCACGGATTGGGTTAAGGCTCTTGTAACCCAAACATTTCTTCTCTGGCCCTTCTTGCAATGTCTTGCATGTGAGCTTTTGGGGGATACCTCACATCCAAACCATAACACCCCATATGTAATTTATATCACAATCCACATCTCTATCTATTGTCATTGTAAAACAGATTATTCTGGCACTTTGAGTAGCTGAAACATGACTGAACAACAATGAGTACTGACAGTCTTTGTGATCTCCTTTCACTTAGAATATGGCTACAGCACAGTGGCTGTGACACTTCTCACACTGGGCTCCATGCTTGGGACAGTACTGGTCCTTTTCCACAACTGTGAAGAGAACTACAACCTTATTTTACAGCTGTTTGTGGGTTTGGCTGTTGGGACACTCTCAGGGGATGCCCTGCTCCACCTTATCCCTCAGGTAATCTGTTTCTTTCCATTTCAGATGGAATGTGTTGAATTTCTCTTTAAATTTAACAACTGGAGGCATTTACACAAAATTTTACAGTGACTTCAATGAATAAATACAGCGGCCAGTATTTTCCTTGGAAAGAAATAGTATTTGTCCTAAGCTTCTCAGCACTTGTGGAGGAAAAGAGACGACCAAACATTAAGTTCACCTCCTATTATTCTTATTTTTGAAATAACAAAAAAAAAGAAAAGGTGATCAGATCTAGATTCCTATTAAGAAAGATTCCATAAGGCAATATCCGTTGTCTATACGTAGAAAAAAAATGGACTGTGAGGTGTTATGCTGGTTTTTCTCCAGCTGCCTGTGCTCACTCAGATCCACACCCCATTTTTCTCTTTTCTGCCCCAAAAGGTTGCCTCTCCTCAGCTCCCATGCAGGCTGGAATTTTGTTTGGGTCAAGCGCATGGGAAGCCCAAGATAGATAGGAGGAGAGAGAGGCAGGTGGGATTCTTCACAGCTCCCTCCTAGCATTGGTAAATGTTATTGTTTCAGTAACAGCACTTCCTCCCTTTGCCCTTTCTACCTGAAGGGTGGAATTGAGTTTCTGGGTTTGCTTTTCCCTTGTTGGTACCTTGGACCCTGCCCACAGCTCAGTGTAGCAACCATTATTAACTTCTCTTTCACGAAGCCCTCAGAATGGATTTCTCATTTTCTTTCTTGAATAACGGTGTCTGGATTTGTCTTCAGTAAAATGTTAAGCACCAAGGAGCTAGCCCTTTGTTGAAGTTATCTAAGGGTTTCTATGTATCAGAAATGAAAGCTCTTAGACCCCAAGCTACTAAAAAGAGTGGTGGATATCTATTCCCTCTGAAATCTCTCCATAGGGATGGAGACCATAGACCAACGATCCTGCCCTTTGCAAATCCCAAGATGTTAAAAATTTTCCACAAGCCTCTGGCACTTTTCTACAGGGTCACCCTTGTTGCTTAGAGGCTCAATAATAATAATATGATGTTTGGAAAATCGCAAAGTGAGCATTGGAGAAATAAAACAAACCATTATTAGTTTTAATTTCCTTCATAATCTAATTTTCTGGAAATATTTCAGGGCTCGTTATTGGCTTGAGGCGGTGGCCAGGGCCTTTTTCTAGGTCACCACAGTGGTTACAGGGTTGTTTACTGCCTGAGAGCCTGGGAAGCCAAAAAGGATCTGAAGGCTGCCTGGGTCTTTAGAGGGGAGCACACAGCTAGCTATACAAGCAGCAGGGGTGAGTTTGGGGGTGGACAGGAAATGTGACAGAGGTGAGCTTAAAAGTTACCTCGGTTTCCTGAAATTTAGAGGGCCGTTTCTTTGCTTGAAAAAAAGGGTTGAAAACAAGAATTATTAGAAAGAAGAGGAAAGACACAGTACCAATGTGGTGGAAAGTTAGAAAAATCAGTGTCCTGAATGTGACCCAGGTTTTCAAAAATCTGTGCAGAGCTGGGCACGGTGGTTGCATGTCTGTTATCCCAGAGGCTTGGGAGGCTGAGAAAGGAGGATCGCAAGTGCAAAGCCAGCCTCAGCAGTAGCAAGGCACTGAGCAACACTGTGAGACCCTGTCTCTAAATAAAATACAAAATAGAACTGGGGATGTGGCTCAGTGATCTAGTACCCCTGAGTTCAATCCCTGGTAAACTGTGTGGAAATGAGACAAATGTTATTGTTGTAATTTCCCTTTTTATTGGCTAAATTTATTCAGCTTAAAGATCTATGTTCTTTCCGGAAATTAAGGTGTTTTCTTCTGCTTTATTTTGTGATATTGCAATACTCACTAGCATATGAAATAACGGTAATTACAAGTATTAGGTTAATATATGTTAACATACTTACCAAAAGAAAAACAGAATAACATAGGTTTTATTTTTAGTCATATCTATATACTCAAAATATGCATGTAGGTACACAGTCATACTCACACATATGCATACATACATCCCATAGGCATTGATATCCACAGGATAGGTTCCAGGATTCCAAAGGGTGTCACAATCCAAGAAAGCAAGAGTATAGTATGTGCATATATCCTATACATTCAAGGGTGTAGTATGTGCATATATCCTATGCATATCCTCCTTAAACTTGAAATCATCTCTGGACTATTTACGATATCTAATACAATGTAAATGCAAAGCAAACAATTATTACACTGTGTTATTAAAAGGATAATGATGAGAATAAAAGTCTGTATTTGTTCAATAAAAATTCAGGGGTTTTCCTCTGAATATTTTCAATATGCAAAGGATGCAGATGTAGATCATGGATATGGAGGGCCATCTGTACATGTGCACATGCACAAATGCCGACATTCACAGGTGTATGAACATACATACAGAAATCTATACATAATTTATTTTTTTCTTTAATTTAGTAGTCAGGAATATTCGAAATCTGGAAACTAGTAAGCTAGTTTACAAATTTTATACTCTTAAGAAAGAAATATGATATGTAAGGACTTACAAGAAATTCTGGGAGCTGTGGCTGCAGCTCAGGGGTAGAGCACTTGCCTATCATGTGTGAGGCACTAGGTTTGATCCTCAGCACCACATAAAAATAAATATGTAAAAGGAAAGTATTGTGCCCATCTGCAACTAAAACAATTTTTTTAAAAAAAGAAATTATGAAGTCAATTAATGGATTGAAAGAACTGATGGAAGAGTCAACCAGAGCAAAGTTCTTATTCTCAATTCATTTCATGATTTTTGTTTGTTTGATTTGTTTGTCCTAGAGGGCTGACAGTATTGCTAATCATATAGCATACAAGTGGAGGAATGTCTTCCAGATGGATTTCTTACATATCTGAATATTTATTAAAACTTTACTCTAGTTGCATTGGGTCAGGGGGGAATAAAATTCCAGTGAAATATCTCCTTCTGTGTTCTGGGTATAAATCATATTGATTTGGAATATTGATATACCAACAGATAGAACTTCTGGAAGAAAAACAAGCAGCCACAAGACAGAGAATGTATAAAAATCTAGGCCACTTGCTAAAATAAAACTGAGGTGTCATTTTTATGCATCAGGATAAGCTATTCAAAGCTCTCCTTTATTTTCTACTCTATACATTTTATTTGACCCTGTTTAAATCATGTAGTGGAAATATTCACATACCTAAAACAAATGGCAAACTGAGTTTTGAATATCTCAGTCATCATGAGATCCCCAGACTGAAAGCTGAATATATTAAACTACTGTGCTTACTATTTGATACCAAAGTCATCAAAAGTTCTTTTCTCCCTCTACCCTTTTTTTTTTTAGGTTCTTGGTTTAGATAGGCAGGAAGATGCTGAGTTTGGACATTATTTCCATGAAAGCAAAGGTCATATTTGGAAACTGTTGGGTCTAATTGGAGGCATCCATGGATTTTTCTTGATAGAAAAATGTTTTATTCTTCTTGTGTCACCAAATGTCAAGGTAAATTTTAAGTTTTATTTATCCCTTTTTCCAAGATTTTATATCTTTTGTTTGAAAGGTCCTTATTCGGAAGTATTGATATCTTCATGAAGTTGTCTATGCAAGGGATAAACTCTTCAAAGAATCATTCTAATGAGTTTCTCCTATTTTTTTAAAACATATATTGCTGGTCAGTTAATGTACTTGCTACAACCTTCTACGTAATCTTCATGTTTGGTACAAAACAGGACACTATTTCATGTCTGGGGAAAGTGGCTCAGGACTGGAGTTGTGGCTCAGTGGTGGAGCGCGTGCCTGGCATGCATGAGGCCCTGGGTTTGATACTCAGCGCTACATATAAACAAATAAAATAAAAGATCCATTGACAGCTAAAAATATTTTTAAAAAATAAAACAACAACAAAAAAGAATTGGCTCAAAGTTCTAGCTACTAATCAGGATTTAGGATGTTTTTCTTATCCATAAACAGATATCAAACAAATGAAAACTTTTTAAGTTCACAAAATCACCAGCCATCATCTATTTTAAGGGCATTTAAAATGATACAAAATCAGAAGCTCAGGAATGTGATATGTAGCAAATATTTTTCCAGCTTGAGTAATTTCTTTCATTATAGTTTGATAATCATTTTCATTTTAAATGAAATAAAAGCAATGTGGCTTATTTGTGAATTATTTGTCTTTTGCTCTTACACAATGTTGTTTAAGAAAAAAAAGTTACCTATTTGGTGGGATGGTTAAAAAGGGTAAATTTTTATGAAGGACTCTAAAAAATTAAAGCCAATTTTCATGATAAAGTCCCCAGGTTCTTCAGTCCTGTGGTTTTCCACGTATTCCCTGAACTTTACCTCTCCACATAACAACTGGAAACTTAGATTTAATTCCCAGGGCAAACATGACTACCTTTTAAATATCAGCACTGGTGTATTACCATTCCTAAGTTTTTACAAAGTTATTTTTATGCATCGAAATATAAAATGGCTTTATGGATGAATGGAGGGATAGGTGGGCAGATCTGTGATAAAATACATATAGGAAAATGTTAATGGTAGGATCCAAGAAGTGGTTATCTGTATGTGCCCATAGAGCATGTATGTTTGAAACTTTTCATTACTAAATGGATGTCAAGATTCAAACAGATTTCAAATCAAGTCTTATAAACATTTTGTTTCAATGAGGCAGGATTTTCTTTGGCCTGGAGTGTAAGCTAGGACACTACATTAATTCAAAAATTATGAATTACAGCTGCAATCATAGCAATTATCCAAAACATTTAGGAAATTAGCCTCCACAAATGGAGTTCTAATCTTAAGAAGTACAAATAGCAGCTAAAAATCTCCATTTACCTACAGTAGATTAGCATTCATGGTCTGGGAAAGCTAAGCTAAAATATCAGTCTATCTCTACTGAATGGTTAGAACCATTTTGGAAATGTGTAAAATAAATTCTGAAAAACTAATCTGTAGTTCATTTAGATTGTCCTTGAGCTTGTCATGAAATTTAAAATGAGTTTCAACAATATAATTTCAAGAAACTTTTTATTGCTGGGCAAGGTGGCATACGCCTGTAATCCCAGCAGCTTGGGCAGCTGAGGCAGGAAGATGGCAAGTTCAAAGCTAGCCTCAGCTACAGCGAAGTACTAAGCAACTCAGTGAGACCCTTTCTCTAAATAAAATACAAAATAGGGATGGGGATGTGGCTGAGTGGTTTAGTACCCCTGAGTTCAATCCCATTACCAAAAAAAAAAAAAAATTATGATGCTCTGATTGAAGAATGCCTTACTAGAGATATTATTTTAGTAATTATGTACAATACAGTGGATGATTTTGCTATCTCTATCAGAAAGCATTAAAATTAAATTTTGTTTAAGTAGAATTTAGTGATAAAAAGACAATATAAAAACTACCACCTTTCAAACCTCTCTTACTCTCAACTAGACATTTTAAAAATTGTATTCTCAAAGCATTCTGAGCATGCATGATTGTTGCAGAGAAGAACTGTGCTTCTCTAAGATTAGATATTTTAGCAAATATCCATCATGAGGGACATATTCCCGGTGTTCTATTTATAATACCCAACACTCTGAGCAATAAACAAAATGTTCAATGGAACCTTGGAATTGACAAAGTTGCACCTGTGTTCCTCTGTCTTCCGCACTAATTTTAAACCATCCTTATCCAGCAGGGCCTGTCATTGGCTAATGGACACGTGGGACATTCCCACCACCTTGCGCTGAACCCTGAATTAAGTGACCAATCAGGAAGAGGCAAATCTCCTTCAACTATCCAGTTGGTAGGTTACTAGTCTAAATGAAACATTCTATTAATGTGATTGCCTTCTTTCCTTTATTTCTCATTGAACAGATGAAAATCAGTAGGGTAGACAGAAGAGAATCCACTCCTGATTTGCCTATTTGTCATCATGATAGATACCAGAAAAATCTGTCAAGCACTTGAAGCTGTTTTAAAGAACAAAAAGCCCTGTCTGCAGACTTAAGTGATTGCTATCTTTACCACTCTGTATCACTTACTTATGGATAAGATGGATACAACAATCAACTTTTAAATTTTGTTTACAAGTTTTCATGAACCAGTTGACCTTTAGATTTTCCATTTTGTATGCTCCTAGCAACTTCTAGGTTGATACATATAAATGTTGAGTAAGTTATTAGTGTATCCAGGGCTAGGGCATTTATTTTATCATGCAAAAGAGAATTGATTATGTCCAATGAGATGTTCCACAGTGGGGGCCTTTGATTCCACTGAATTCTCCACAACAAAATCTTCCATGTTCATTTTTAAAATACAATTCCACTAAGGTTCAAAACAATATTCTCTTTCCACTTAAAGAAACAAGTATAGAGGCAGGAGAAATATGAAAGTGATATGTAACTCTTAACTCGTCTCTTGTAACCCTAGCTTTGACATAAGGGGTTTATAGTTCAAGGATACCTGAGTAGAGATAAGTTAGCTATTCACGAGAGATTAACATAGCAAAATAGAAATCTGATAATAGATTCAGGTCTAATGCCAACTCAGAGACATTGACATAAAAATATTCTTTTAAGATGATTTTGAAAATTGTATTCTATTTATTACTTAGGTATTTTAAATGTGTTTTAAAAAACAATAGTTTCAGGCTGCAATTAGTTTTGAAACCACTTTACTGCAGGTTTTATTTCTTCTGTTTCACTGAAGAGCCCACAACCTCAAGACACATGTAAGCAAACCTCTGAAGCTAACTTTGTTTTCAACTCTTTGAACACTCGGGGTCACTAATATATTTCACTGTTACTTTCATTATTTAAGCCGCAAGATCAATCTTCTATTGCAAAATAGAAATCATGTGAACTTTTAAAACTGTTTCATGGGTTCCATTTCCCATTTTTTTCAGGAAAGTATAGCTTGAAGGAGGAAAACCCTCAGTTTTTCCCAACCAACGAGGAACCTTGAACATTTGCCTCTGATTTCCTTTGCATAGTATGATGATATATACTTTTTTTTTTGTCAGAGAGAGTATTGTGGGATTAATATTTGGACCCCTTCCTTTTAGTAGAACTATAGAACATTTTTCTTCTGGTCAGGCTTTTGATATAAAATATTCACATCACTTTCATGTTTCTAGATCTGCCCAATTTCAGGCAAGAGGCCTGAAACTCTAAATTGTTATCTTTCAGGTCATACTCACTTCTTAATCTTCCTTCTCCAAAAAAAAAAAAAAAATAGCCTATCTATACAACCTGGGGTTACTGTGCCATGTGAACTTTATTTACTTTCCCTTTCACATGACAAAAGACATTTATTTCTCACATTAATTTGTATCAAAATGTCCCTAAATGGGGGCTGATAGAGTTATGTGAATATACTTCTTAAAGGACACTCTTTCCCATTGGAGGAAAGCATTCTTTTCACAAAATAGATAAAGAATCTGAGACCCAGAAAGGATATCCTACAAAAATCAAACTGACTCAGTCTCTGAAATAAAATCAGGTTGTGATAACTTACACCCTAAAAAGTAATTCCAAAATCTTCTCTGTCATGTGTGAAAGGATGAAAAATTTTAATAATCTATTTGTTTATGTAAGTCTGTAGATCTATTTTCCAAATTGACAAGACTCTTTGACTAGAAAAACAATAATAATTTAAAAAAAAAAAGACATTATACTGCAGTGAGTGAAATAAAGTGTTAGGTTTGCAAGCCTTTCTTTTCCATCCAGAAGATGCCATCTGCTTGCACAGCAGAAGAGGAATCCTAGATCTACTATCCGCTCTTACAGGAGATGTGACAAATGAGGGCAAGGATCATTTTTTTTTTTCTCTACCGCTTTTGGGTTTCATAAAAGCTTGCATAATTTAAAAGTCTGAATTACAGACTGTCTCTTGGTAGCCTACAGCCATCCACGGAAAGGTACTGATCTGTGTAAGAGAGCTATTTTTATCTAAACGTAGGTAGTGCAAAAAGTATTCACATTGGTTCAATTTTAGATTACATATTGTCTATGAAACCGAGTAGTTTTAACGTCTACCTAGAGTATCAAAATAATCTTTTAAAGCTCAATATAACTCTTCAGAGGTTTATGTTTCAGCCAAATGTGACTGTTACCCGCTTTTCACCAGTTATTTTTAAATTTTCAATAGAAAGGTCCAGAAGATTTACACGCTGCTGAGAGTCCCATAGACAGTATGACAGCCTCCCACAGAAAATGTGAGTACCAATTTAAAACAAAACAAAACAAAAAACAGGTCTGGGGTTGTGGCTCAGTGGCAGAGCTTTGGCTTAACACATGCGAGGCACTGGGTTCGATTCTCAGCACCACTTAAGAAACAAATAAAATGAAGGTATTGTGTCTATCTACAATTAAAAAAAAATTAAAAACCCAATAACTCATCTTTAAATGTAGTAAGTTCCATAGACAAAGACTGTATCTGTTTAAAAATAAAATGGCAAAAGCATATCACTTCATATTGGATATCTAGTTCATTATTAAAAACTTAGCAATAAGATCTTCAATGAAAACCCATTCTCATCTGTCTCCCAAACATACTAACACATTCATAACAACTTGACTCCATTCTTTTAAAATGACATTTTCCCCCTTTGCCTAGATTGAGAGGTCCTAAAATCTTCAGTGTATACACATGCATGGTTATTAGGACTCCTTTTAAATTATGCCTCTATGATGTTTGAGACTTTTAATTCACTCTGAAATGTGGAGACTTCCTTGTTTTTTTTTTTAAATCTTCTTTCAGAGTCGAATAAAAGTTCATCACAACTGTCTGTCTTGTCATACTGCCATTAGGACAGCAGAGTTCAAATTTGGTGATGTTTCATTATTCACAACTTTTTCTGTAACTCATTTGTTCATCAAGCTTTCAATCGACCTTTTTTTCTTTCCATTTCACCATTTCTCTATTTCATTTCCCAATTGTAGATAGGACTTTATGCCTCTTTGCTATGTTTTTGAATAAGTCTTTGAACTTCTTTGTTTTTGGTTTTGGTTTTCATTAGTTGCTTTTGAATCTTGGCCCCATTTTTTCCCCATTTATGTTACTGTTTTGTGACACAAACTTCCTAATGTTTTAATGTTAACCAGTTATGGTTAGTTATTCCCATTGTACCACAATAAGTTAGTCAATCAGTGACAAAAAAAAAAAAAAAAACAGCTAGGAAGAACTGAACTCTTCTTATAGGCCAAGAACAATGTTAAACACTTGATGCGGACTACCTTGTTCAATTCTCCCACAATTTAGATACAAATAAATATTATCTAAATATACAAATGAAGAAAGCAATTGTTAGAGAGGTTAACTCATTGCCCAGAATAGCTAGTCAACTCCAGCACTGAGGAACTAAAATGCTAATATACCAACAATTTCTTTGTGATTATTTATTCATGCATGCAGCCAAGGATCCTCTCACATTCTTTTTTTTTCATTCAAGAAGTGTTTGAAGATATGTGGTGCTAGAGGCACTGTGTATGCAGTGGAGAACAAAATAAGAAGGTTCCTTATCCATGGTCTGTTACATAGTTTGGGATGTAAATACTAATAAGAGCAAATACTTATTAGCATTATAACCATGATTGTTGTAGCAATGGCTATTCAAAGTGCTTTAGATATATTAACTTATGTAATTGATGTGTTTCTTTTATTCAAAATATATAATTACATGTGCTGGCAAGTTCAACTTCTAAGACACTGCTAATATTGCTTTCCTTACTGAATTTTTAGTTCCAGGATTAATTTAGAATATTTGGCGCTTAGTAGGTCCATCGTCAGTATTTTTGTTGTTGTTGTTTTCTTTTTTGAAAGAAAGGAAGAGGAAAGAAGCTGTGTCAAGTTAAAATTAGGACCAGGGAGTGAAAACTAGATGGGGGGGGCATTAATGTTCTTAATCAAATATTTTGTAGTTTGCATATCTTCCCATTTCAGATATCAAGCTTGGCCTTCAGAATGAAAAGTGAACAAATCCTAATTAGAATATGCAACTGCCCGTCTGCCAGGAAAACACTGAATTAGCTTCAAACATTTGATTACTTGTTTCCTATTACCTCATTGGTAGAACTCAGCTTGTGTTTCAAAAGACAGGATGTGAAAATCCTATCCACAGTCTGATTTAAATAAACAACAACAAAAAAATCATATTAGTTCCAGCTCATGTTTCACCATGGAAAACCTCAGATATATAGAAAATGTTAACACAATATGACTGCCAGGTACATGAGCAAAGGTAAAAATATTATAGATTTTTCTCTAATGAGTACATTAAATTACCAACGGATGCTTATCTTCCTCTAAATGTTGTTTAAATTATCTTAAAGAATAGTCTTCTTTGTGGCTTACATGCAAATGTGTATTTTGCCTTGTGGCTGGTTACATATCCATATTCTGACATTTAGAAACCCATAATCAGAGATAATAAAATAACAGACAGCAGAAATAGGCCATACTGTTTCCTAGCAGAGTGTATTTTGGCTAAAAAATCTTTCATTTGAATATATTCTATTAATATCAAAACTACATGTAGGCACAGGGAAATCATAATTTTATTTGCCTGATGCAATGTGGTCAGATATATCACTTTAGATTTTGAAACATTATTTATCTCAGAGAAGAGTATTATCTCTGAAAAATTGGCAGGAATCGCTAAGTGACTAGTATCATTATTGAACTCTGAGAGCTTCTGGAGAATGCTGGTAAGAGCTTGCTGAATTTATTAATGCAATATTTTCTTGTGCATTTATGACTACTGCCTGAAATTTGCCCACTTGTAATAAAGAATAAAATGAGTTAATAAACCACAAGAAGTATGGAAGCGATATTTGTAAATAAGTATAATATTTAGAAAGTGAGATGATGGGACACCTCTGCATCACAGGCAATAACAACCTTCTGGCTAAAAATCTGGCCTATGATTGCTGTTTATTGAAGCTACTTATTTTATGGTGTGAGCTATACAATATGCCAAATAACATTCCCTAAATAAAATAACAAACCATATTATAATAGTCCCTCTGGATCTCAGACCATTTATGGGCTGAAACCACAAGATAACTTCTTTTTTTATGAGCAGAAGTAAAATTTCATAGATATTTTATAATTATTCAATGTGCAATTATTCAAATGATGTTTTCAGTTCTAACAGTAATGACAGTTCCTGCTTACACCTGTTGCACACTATACGTTCAGATGAATAATTAATAAAAATTTGGACTATGACAGTTGGTGAATGCATGTTCCCATCAAGTGTTATGCCTGGACATTTTACTATCAGAGCAAGTGTTACCTTCAAAATACTTTTTTGTGTTTGTTAGTTATTCCATTCTTGTAATTGGGTTATAACCTAAAATGTAGGATTTTCAAAGCAGAAATCTGTGTATTAAAAACTTGAACCCAATTTTGGTCAAAATCGTTTTATCTACTTTCTCTTAATCTCTCATAGAATCCCATGAGAATTGCAACTTCTCTTTATTTTTTTCAACATCCAAGTAGATGTATTGAAGGTTATTTTGTAGAAAGACAAATATATTGAATCATTGTTTCAAAGATAATTGACAGCCAGAAGAGTTGGTTATGACTCTGTTGCAGTCACAGTTGGGGAGTGAATGAAGTAATTTAGAATGGTCATTAGCACCAATTAGAAAAGATAACAGATGATCACAGGATGGCAGAACATACACTGCAGCAGATTATCATAAGGACCATCAGATTCAGAGGAACTGTTTTGCAGAATTGACTCCCCTTTAATAACATTCTGCAGGGAGGATTGTCTTGGTCCATTTGAGTTTCTATAACAAGCTACTATAGACAAGATGGTTTATAAACAACAGAAGTTTCTATCTCACCGTTCTGGAACCTGAATGATCAAGATCAAGATGCCATAAAGGCAAGGACCTCCTTTTTGGTTCCCAGATGGCACCTTCTCAGTGATTCTCCATGTGGCAGAAAGACCAAGGGAGCTATCTGCCATCACTTTTATAAGGACACTAATCCCATATATGGAGACTCTGTGCTCATCACCTAATCACCTGTCAAAGGCTCCATCTCCTAGTACCATCACATTAGGAGAATAGTTTTCAACATATGAATTTGGTGGGGGTGGGGACACAAGCATTCTGAATATAGCAAAGTTCTTAAGTTATTTAAAAATACAAAAGACAAATAGGAAGGTCATCAATAGTACTGGGGGAGGTTACAACATTGTTTTTGTTTCTGTTGGCATAGCTGAACAGGTGTTAAAATAATTACTACCAGCATAGAATTTATCTCATTATTTATCAGACCAGCGGGGGAAAACAGTGACCACTTTAAATGTATTGGCTACCATGTTTGCATCTCTAGTCCCAATTTATTTTGAAAGCTGAAACAGAGTAGGGTTATTTAATTAGATGCAATGTAAGAATGTCAAGGGTCGATGGGAAAACTGGTCAGACTTGAAGGATGTCATGAAATATGTAGTGCTCTGCTAATGCTTCTCATGCCTTTATTTGGTTCCATAGGCAAAACCATTAGCTTGTTAGCCATAATGATTCTGGTTGGGGACAGCCTGCATAATTTTGCAGATGGCCTAGTGCTAGGAGCAGCTTTCTCCTCTTCATCTGAGTCGGGAGTGACCACAACAATTGCTATCTTGTGCCATGAAATTCCACACGAGATGGGTAAGTCTTACAATAGAATCACTCTTCTGCTAATTGTTGAGAAAGTCCTAATATATTTCTAGCCAGGGTTTACTTAGATTCCTTTTCCAACATATAATTGAAAGATGAATACTTCATGTTTATGATTTATTTAAACCATAAAAGAAGGAAGGCACCAAAAAATTCCTATACCTTGAGATAAAACTCAAGTCGTTTCCTTTCTGATCTTTCCCAAGTCCAGAAATGATGATGGATTCCAGAGAATTCTGTATGAGAGAGTCATTCAGAGAACTCTCATTTTAGAGAACTCTGGCAAGGATTTTAAATTCTGCATGCTAAATGTGGGAAAATATTAAGAGAGGGAACTTCACCCATTATGTTAGAAAACAGGCCAATGATATAAAATAACATTTAAATTGAAACCAACTCATGGTTTACCAACTTGATTTAAACAAAATGTTTAAAGCCAAGCATAAAATCGAAATGACAGGCATATGGTAGCAGATACATATAAGACTTTTTTTTTTTCCGGATAATCTTAATAGCCCTGTAATTCAAGTCCTGCCTCCCAGGAACCGGGATGGGATAAAATAAAGATTTTCCGAAGCAGACTCAGAAATAGTACAGATGGATCTGTGTCTGTGCATGCACACACACAATGTGCCTCAGGGACATGACTCTTCACAGTCATTTTTCTGCTTCTACTTTCAGCCTACCTGGCCTCTTGGACCACCCCTTGCTCAGGGGTGTTCATTGATCAAAGTCCTGTCACTGACTCATTGTTAACTCATCTTTCTTGGAGTAGTTTATCCTGAGCTTACTTATGTATATCTGGTCTAGAAGTTGTACCCTACATCCCTATGAGTAGCTGCTGTGATAGTGGCTGATCCTTGATCCAAAAATCACAGGGCAGTGGGACAGTCTGCAGCAAACCCACAAAATTACTTCAAGACGTGTTCATGGGACCCATTATGAAATGGAACTAGGAAGTAGAGTCCCAGGCCATCTCTTTATTTGATGTTCATCTCTTCTAATCCCTGAGATTAAGAAATAGATACTCTTGAGATTTAGATAGATCATTCTTTATTTAGAGGATAGGGATGTATGGAAGAAGGTTGTTTTTCTGTACTCATGAAGGCAGCAAAATGATTTTCTAAAGGAAAAATTTGTTCTCTTGACTTGTAATGAATTTTAAAAAAAATATCTTAACTGGTTTTATCTTTCCCAACAGCATTTTGTGCATCAGTAAGTTATTGAAGTCCATATAATGTCATGATTTCCCCTGGTAAATTGCCAGGCATAAATATTTAGAAACCCTGAGATAGAGAGTGACTCTATTTTGCATTTATCTAAGTTGAAAATGCATGGGATATCAGGAGCTGAAGAATATGTCATAGACCTCTCTGTATAGGCTCTATTTAGGAGAAGCAAAAGGAATAGAATTTCACACTTCAGCTCCCTATCAGTAGAATGAACTTGCTGAAAATCCTATAGAAACACAGGACAGCGCTTTTACTAACTTATCAGTCAACTTTACAAATGAAATTGGTTCGAGCTTCTGAGATTAGAAACAACCGCATAGCACATTACTTTTCAGACATCACTAGTTAAATGATAATTACACTCTTTTTTCCCCTTAAACTTCAGGAGACTTTGCTGTGCTTTTAAGCTCTGGACTCTCTATTAAGACTGCCATTCTGATGAATTTTATAAGTGCTCTAACTGCCTTCGTAGGACTATACATTGGCCTCTCAGTGTCCACTGATCCATGTGTCCAAGACTGGATCTTAACAGTCACTGCTGGAATGTTCTTGTATTTATCCCTGGTGGAAATGGTAAGCTCTTTTGGCTTTTCTATTTTGTTTTGTAAACACTGAAAATGTAAAAGCATTTTAAAAAGTACATGCCTGTAATCCCAGCAACTCAGAAGGCTGAGGTAGGAGGATTGCAAGTTTTTGAGGCCAGCCTCTGATAACTTAGTGAGATCCTATCTCAAAATTAAAAAAAAAATTAAAAGTCTGGGGATATAGTTCAGTGGTGGAGGACCCCTGGATTCAATCCTCAGTATGAGAGAGAGAGAGAGAGAGAGAGAGAGAGAGAGAGAGAGCGCAAGCAATTAAAATGGAGGGGTAAATAGATACAAGATAAGAAGAATATAGATAATAAAATATGTAAATGACTAAGTAAATATTCAATGCAATCCAATAAGGTAAATTGAAGTAAAAAAACATAATTTCAGGTACAGAAATATTGACATTCTATTAGTCATCTAAGTGGAAAGAATGAAATGTTTATAATTATCAAAAAGTGGCTTATTCTGTTCCAGTATTGCATCTTGTATATAATGCCTGAACTCCCAGTTGACAAATGAAGTGTTTATTAAACAACTATTTTACTCATACAATGCAATATAGTTCCATGGAATTTATCATCAATGATTGTTTGATTTAATCAACCAATTATATTTTAAAAATAAAAATTCATCATTGAGTTTAACTGCCAAAGGTCTATGAGCTAGAAGAATGAGAAAGATTATGAAAGCATTTGTTCTATAAAATGCTACATGTTTCCTAAGAGGTCCTCACTGACACTAATCACAACTCAATTATCATGTTTCATTCCTATAATCTTATGAAGGATTCGAAGCTGGGACATTTTACCTTTTTATTTTAATTAAATTTTTCCCCTCTTAAATTCTGGTTCCTATAAGATACCAGTCTATTTTTTTCAGATTGCCCTCTGTTGGACTTCAAAATATTTTCTGGGTAATGATCCTAATGATTATCCCTTCTGATGGCTTGGATTAAGGCAGATAAAAATTCAATAAATTGGCAAAAGACGCATTGAAGACTGAAAATCAATCTAAATGGGAGTAAATTATGTCATTATGTATGTTGAGAGGATAAAGCAAACTAAAGCAAAGCTGGAAGTAATATGTCTAATAGATCGGACAGCAGAATCAGCTATAGCCCTAAGAGTGAATAAAAAGAAATGTTTCATGAAGAAAAAATTATGCAATCAGGAGCCTGGGCTGATGCAATCAGAGTGGTGCATTCTGGAAGACTGCAGAAAGGGAACTCTCAGAGTAAACACCATCATTTTAAACCCCTACGTATTTCTTTTCCTTATTTCTTATGAAATCCAAGTAGCTGAGGTTATTACCAAATAAAGGTACTTCCATATTTAGAAATGTTCGTATATATTATTTGGGATGTTCAGAAAATTTTATTAATTTTGATAATGAAGCTAAAAGTGGAGTAGATTCAACCTTCCCTTTCTGAACCCCATCCCCTCAACCCCATCCCCCAACCTGTGGTCGATGTGACAGCATCCTGTGATCCCTCCCATGTGAGAAATTCAGATTACCAGCTTTTTGTGACTTCAAAAACATACTGTCACTCACCATGACATGACATGGGTCTATCCTTTGTTTAAAATGTCTACATATCAATCTTCAGATTCACTCTTGAGCCTTCAGATTTTCAGATTTCTAGTTTCTGTTTTCTTTATGGGGGTCAGTGGGGGGCAGTTGCTGTATTCTTTGGAAGTTTATTCTGTTTTTAACCCAGACTGGATCTCTCTTCAAGTATGATGGATGTATATGTACGTACTCAGTCTTTTTTTTTTCTTTGTTTTGGTGTCTTAAGCTTCCAAAATTGATCTGGGAAGATTATCAAGTGCCATTTGTCATGTAGAACCCTAAGCTAAATGTGTCATTTTTTCTCCTCAATGTCTCTGCTACTTATCTGGTAAGAGTAAGTAATTGCTTTATAAGAAAGCAATGTAGCCGATACCCTAGGAGACTCCAGCGAGCATAAATCTTGACCTTATTGCAGATGACTATTGGCCAAGGGGGGCAAAAAAAAAAAAAAATCGTATCCTGGCCAAAAGACAGGAAAGTAAATACTCTGAGTTTCCTGGGGCTGCTTCCTAAAATCCAGGTCGCCTGCTCTCACGGCCTTCTGAGTAACTTCTAAACAAATACAGCTCTTTCACATAGCAGCGAGTTTAACTATTGCTGTATTCTGGGGCTGTGCCAAAGAAAACAGTCTGTCGTTTAAAGAGAAGAAAACAAGGTTCCAAGACTCTGTGAAACAGCAAAGAAAATAAATGACGGCAACTGAAGGGTAAAGGGGAATATTCTAGAATACTCGTTACTTGCTATATTTACCAGGCACTTTTCTGTGCGGGGTTAAAGTGAAAAGATTAGCTAGATGTTTGTTTGTTCGTTTCAAAGAAACGGAGTGTGTTATTTCAAACTCCTAAAAGAGAAAGAATGAGAGGCAAGAATGGGGGCCATTAGCTATGAGGTCAACAAAGAAGAAAGTCTTCTCTGGGGAAAATTGCCAGCCTTTTCTCCAAAGTGGAAGTCCTAAACCCAAGCCTGCTGACTCCCAGTTGCGTTGATGGATTTCTAAAGAAGTCAAGAATGAATGCAGCTCTGTGTGGCCCCAGGAAATCAGTTTTCTGCTATGAAGACCAGTGTCCTACTGGGTTTTCCCCAAACCAGAAACAAGAGTGACTGTGAAAGCCATTCTGTTGGGACATGACTTCAGAGAGCAGAAGCAAAGTCCTGAAAAGGGAAACAGACCATCCCACAGGACCCTCTGGAGGAAGCCTTGAAAATTTATTTTAAACTCACCTGGATAGTGAGAAGGCCTTTGTCTATATTGGCTCTTGTCCCATTTTTCAAATCTGTTCCTACAGGTATCTTCTCTCCACACTCCTAGACTAAGCATGTTGGAGCACCAAGGTCATTCCCACTGAGCTTATGTGCCAAGACATCAGAGAGCCCCAAATCAGGAGAAAGGAATGTGGTCTAGAACTGAAGCAAGGGTCTGTACAAAACTAGTCAATACCCACTTGGAACTGATCTCTGCAGCAGTGGCTGGGGTAGGACACTGTGACGTCCATCAACAGTCGGCCCCTTCTACCGCTCAGATATGCTCATAACCTCTTTTAATTTTTAAGTCCCTTCTATCCCAGAGTCCCCTTATGATGGTAGCCAGTCAAAAACTCCATGAGAACATAATACAAAATAGTTGGCAGAACAAGTGCCAAACCCTGCTGTTTTAGTCAGCTTTTTCATTGCTGTGACTAAAAATCTCCTCAGAACAATTTTAGGGGAGGAAAAGTTTATTTGAGGGCTCACTGTTTCAGAGGTCTTAGTCCATAGAAGGCCAGTTCCATTCCTTAGGGTTTAAGGCGAGGCTGGACATCATGTGGAAGTGTGTGGCAGAGGACAGCAGCTCACATGATGATCAGAAAGAAAAAGAGACTCCACTCTCCAGATACAAATTACATACCCCATAGCCATGCCCCCAAAGAACCACTTCCTCCAGTCCACCCCACCTGCCTCCAGTCACAATCCAGTTAATCCGATCAGGGAGCAAATCACAGATTAGGTTAGGGATACAACCCAATCATTTCTCCTCCAAATCTTCTTGCATTGCCTCACACAGGAGCTTTGGGGGAGTATCTCACATCCAAACCATAACACCTGCTGCTCTGGAGGCCTTATTTGATACTGAACATCTCGGTCTTCTAGCACCCAGTCTTCATCCTCCTCCCCTCCAGGCAGCATTTGGCTGACATAGATTCTCTTTCCAGAAGAGGAAGCCTAGCTCTTCACTGAGGAGTCTGAGTCTTAGTTGCTTTGTCCTTAGCGGGTCCTGTTTCCTCTAGTGGCCTGTTTACCATTCTACCAGACTTGAAATCATCAAGAGAGGCTCCAAGGACTCCCCCAGTTTCTGGATAGGTTCCTTCTTCCCCCATGGGGTGGCAGTAGCCCTAGCTTCTCATGAGGACTCCCACCAGTGTAGTGACATGTTGTTGGTATTTGATCCACCCGTATGGGAACCCCAGATGATCACGGAGTGGTCATAGCTTTCTGTTCAATGGAAACATTATTTTATTCCCTGGTGCATTCTCCCCAAGAACACAATCCACAGTTAGATTCCTAGGTTTATAGGAATAGGAAGCACAGATATCATGATTATAGAAACTAGTAATGACGGTGTATCAATGCTTTAAGATTGTTTTGTTTTTTCCACTATAATCACTTTTCCTGCCTTCCTTCTTAAATGTATTTACTTTTTATTCTTTTGCTTTATGAGATAAAATATTATAACATGTATTTTCAATCATTATTATTTTCTAATATTAGCATTTAAAGCTATACATTTCCCTCGAAGCACTGCTTTAGCTGACTCATATATTTTAATATGTTGAGTTTTCAATATTGATCATTTTGAAATGTTTTTAAATTTCTCATGTTGTTTTTTGTTTCCTTTTTGATCTATGGGTTTTATAGAAGTAGGTTACCTATCAGTATGCAGACTCTTTCTAAAATATTTTAGTTGTTGATTTTAATTGAATTCCCTTTTAGAGTAAGGGTATATTCTATTCCATTTTTATCAACTGAAATGTTTTGAGACTTATTTTATGGTTAAGCACAAAAAAGATTGACAATTATAATGAATGAACCCTAATACATTTGAATATTGGAGATCAAATTTGGCAGCATTGGAGATCAAACCTAGGACCTCAGGCATGCTAAGTTAGAACAGCAGAATACAATAGACACTTGTATGGCCCTATGTATAAATGTGGCTGTATAACCAGTGTGATCCAGCAATCCGTACACGTGGAAAAATAAGATTACGTACCCCATTAGAATCAAATGTATGATATGTCAAGATCATTGTAATGTTTTGAGCAACTAATAAAAATTAAAAAAAAAAATATCTTATTCTCTCTTAGAACCCAAAGTTCCTTCTAAGAAAATTCTCAGAATTAGAACTCTAGAGGATTTCTTGTATACAACTTCTTTAAA